TCTCTGAAGTTCTCGGGTCACGTATCTAAAAACTTGAGGTCTAGCTGCCGAAGTTCGGATCAGACATATGAGGTACTTCGATATATGCCGAAGGGTTCGGGTCACACATCTGAAGTACTCCGGTACATACCGAAGTGCCTCGCTGTCTGACCCGAACTTCGGCAGCTCGACCGCAAGTTTTCGGATGCGTGATCAGAAAACTACAGAGATCCATATGACCTCAACTTCGGGTCTCGTGCACGAAGTTTTTTTCTCCGTGCACAGTGCAAAGAATTCACTGAAATTTGTACCAAAATCCGAACAACCGTTTCCACGTAAACAATTAAATTTGGCAACAGCTGATGTGGCTTCGTTCCTCCTTGACGCGGTCCACTTTGCAGTATTAATGATGTTACATTGCTACAAGTATTTTAGGTAAATAATTCCTAATACCGACGACGGGGCAGGCGACCTTTAACAGCGATTTTCTTTAAAATTCCCGATTTTCCGCCCGCGAACTTTGGATTGCTGCCAAATGGTTGATTTAATGATTTTTTTTTTACTTTTCAAAAGAAAACTTATGTGTTGAACAACTCAATCTTGATCAGCCACTGGATTTTTTAAGAGTAATTAGGGGTGTTGCCTACACCAAAAATTGTAGGTGGATTGCCAATGAGTTAGAATCACTATTTGGTGAAAGATACTTATTGAATGAATACTCGTGACATTTATGGTGATACCAATATTCGACCATATGGGAGCTCGTGTTGCCTACACCAAAAGTTGAAGGCGAACTGACGAGGCGTTAAAGAGTCACCTTTTCCCGTGGGGAAAAAAGCTATTTTTTGTGTGTCTTCCGAATAAGCGTGTACCATTGCACCACTATTCGACCACAAGGGAGCTGGTGTTGCCTACACCCAAAATTATAGGCGAGATACCAATGCCCTTCCGGTAAAAGGATGGCTATTGTGTTTGAATAAACGTGGCATTTACGGAGATACCGCACTATTCGGTCAAGTAAAACCTCTAATTGCCGATACCAAGAATTGAGACGGAGTGTTTTTTGAAAATTTCGCACTTACAAGTCAAAATCAGTTTTCCCAAAAAGGAAGAAGAAGAAAAATCCGAACAACTTATACGACTCATTAAAATAGGTTAAAGGAATCTCGACACATCGTACTTAGGTACCTAATTGTTGACGATTTTGAGAGCCGGCAACGTTGTCATACATTTAAATAATGCCTTTCGAGAAATTGGCAATTTTTCGATGAAAATGGATAATTTTTTACTTCTTCGGCACAAAAACCAAGCTGGAATGAAGTTAAGGCGCAAGAGAAAGCTTCAATTAGTGTCGCATGCGACGGATTCTAGACTGATTCCATCACAACGCCCAGATGCAACTATTTGAGCTCCACAGATGTCCGTGTTGCGTATGCACAGAAGTGAAGGCGTTTTACAGACACTCACTGCCTCACCGGCGGTACTCACGATGGAAAGCGAGCCAAAGAGGAGAGTCGGACATAATGTGAAAAGCTCATATACATGTTAGTACGAAACGTACGGGGTTAAAAGTGGTTTTATTGATTTTCTCGTGAAATTTCCTTCGGGAGGCACCAAATAAAGTTGAAGATGTGAAGAAATTAGCATCAAAATTTGCAGTTTTAGAAGAAATTTTAATGTCCAACCTGTCTGAAAGGCTTGTTTGGTGCGGCGAGCTTTAGGGCAAGGACCTAAAATGACAAGGGTGCCTTCAATGGCAAGGTACGAATGGAAGCATTCTGTTACACGTATTCTGAATAAAAATCACGTAAAACACGATTACGAACGAAGGCTACTTAAATTAACTTCTAACTAAGATATTTATTGTTTCTTGAAGTGTAAATTCAAACCTCCCCCTTGTGAGAGACTAAAGTCTGCTTGAGTTGAATCGCGCACTAAACGTTGTTGTGACAGTCTCAGCGAAATATGACGAACTCCATCTCGATGCTTCGGCTCAGCTGTTTTAGGTTCTTACCACTTTGAACATCTCAAGATTGGAAGCGAATTTTTCATAGATTATGCTTTAAGACTAGTCCAATTCTAAGTTGAAATCATGAGTAGTAGTCTCAATTTTATCAAGACCTGCGCTTATGCGTCTTGTGCTTCAAGCCTCTCATTTACACTTCAATGGCATCTCTGAGGCATGAAAAGTTGCTCTACAAATCATGATCAGCACATCGCGACATCAAAACTAAGCACAAAAGATCCTCACACCCTACGCCTGTATGCAACTATTCGCGCTTAGGAGATATCTTTGTAACAGAAACCAAGATAATTGAAAGCGCTCTGCCATTTGGCTCCTCGCAGTAAAGCCCGCCGATGGTGCCGAGGGTGAAGTGGTGAGTACCTCGACACTGGACAGTCAAAACGCCTTCACTCTCGTGTGAATGCAACACGGACATCCACAGAGCCCGAATAGTTGCATGCAGGAGTTAAAATGAGTGCTCGTCGCATTCGTCACTAACTGAGGGCGCTTCGTTTGTTTCTCATACCCTGTAACTTAATTCCAGCGTTGCCTGTTGTGTCGATGAGGTGAACTATTATTGATTTTTATCGCGACATTGTCAATTTTCCGAATATTGCTTTCATTGTTTAAAAATATAACAACGTGCCCGTCATAAAATGTGGACTGCGGCTCCTGCCCTCTCTGATCTAAGAACGGCGAATGCGGGAAAGTCATTATGGTCATACTCTCGGGAAAAATTAGAGCGGGCATCTCAACATATTTGTCTTTTTTTCTAGCTGACAAGTTAGAAAAAGTCCTGTCAGAGTCAGAAAATATGTAAATCAATCTGGGGTTAATTCAGTCCTGAGCAGCAGGACCCAAATCTAGCAGAAAATATCTTACTTTACTAATTGCTTCAAGAGCATCGAATCAGGCACCAGTGGACTACTTTGAAAAAAAAAAGGGAATCAATTATGAAGAATCCAAAGGAGCCAGGCTTAAAGTTATCACATTAAATGCTAAGTTAAGCTTGGAAAAAAATCAAGTGAGTGGGGATTCTTCTTAAGTTTTCCTATGTTTCTGTATTTATTTGTGTTTGCAAACACGCCTCACGAGCATGTTCTACAGCCAAGCCTGAGGAATTCCTCCCTGGGGAATAGGATCGATCGAAAATTTGAACCAATTATTGTAGCAATGCAGCCGCAAATGGGTTTCATAAGGCCTTAAAAATATTCAGGAGGCAACCGGAGAAATTTTTATGACTTCGAGAGAAGCGGACGCCCGCGGACGTTAAAAAAGAAAGACCGCGCAGAGCAACAGAGCACAAACCGGACTGCAGCGCTATATGTACACGAAACCTATCTCATCATTTTTAAAAATCCAGGAATTTCAAAGGCTACAGTCTGACCAAATTTGGGGAAGCCTCGGACGCATTGCTACGCTCGCAAAAAAAAGAAAAATGTGAGAATTGACCGCGTGAATCTCTAGAGGTAGTACTCTAGATGAGTATGTAGTAAAAAAGTACTTGTTAGTATCTCTAGAGTTCGCGCATCATATGTTGGGAGAAACGTCAATCTCCGATTATCTCTGAATTTGCACCACTCGACAGGTTAATACATGCAGTCAGGTCGCACCACTGGTGAATAGTGACATAAAAAATACTTTGATGTTTGTCTCAACACACGATGCACGAGCTCTATTTAGTATGTGTATCATTTTCGGCAAGATGTTTTTAAGAAAAAACATTTGAAGTTTTTTGTCTGAACTTTCAGACCTTGTCTAGTGTACTTTGTTGGATGTTTCATGATTCAACCAAAGAGAGATACACCCAGTGAAATTCTATTTTGATGTAAAAGTAACAAATGAAACACTGTCATTTTGAATTAAGGGGCAATATTGCAAGTTAGGGAGTCTACCCCCTAGCCGCCATGAGAACCAACCGGAGGGCGCTCTGGGGCAATAATTTTCCTAATCAAAAACAGACAAATCCTGATCCAACACGTATAAACTTACTGTAGAAAGAACAAGATTGTACGACTTTTCAAGCACACTTAACATACAAAAATGGCAAGAGTGATGATACATTTCCCCCCTTAAAATATGGGTGCTCTAATCTGTCGCAAAGTTGTGCCATACATTTAAGTGACAACAGAAAATCTAAAGTCTTTCAGGAATAGAGTGGGGAGAGGGGCTATGAACTGGCTAGATCATCGCAGACTGCAGAAAGCTGTATTCTTAAAAATATGTCACAATATCTGCAAGGAGTAGCATCTGTATGAAACAGCCTACCTTCAAAAAATGTAATGAGTTCTAGCCGTCAAACTGAGCATCACTTGACAGGAGATTCATGTCGTCAAATCTATGAAGAATAGATATTTCAGTAAATGAATGTCCCGAAGCAATAGCTCAGTATGATAAAACTGTCCCAGACCCAAAGTTCTCAAAAAGCTTTGAGTTAGGCAGTATAATAATTAATAGCTAACCTTAAACTAAAGAAAAACAGTAGATTGCAGGAAAGCTTAGAATTCAGTTCTAGTCACAATATGTATCATGTTTATAAAACATAAGAACTGACTTTAAAACCCTGGCACAGACTTGCTGAGTGTAATAGAGCGGCAAAACATACAGCACCAAATTCATACAACACATGATAAATTAAACATTGCTAAAAAATGTTATTGAAGATCAGCTGTTAACAAAAAAATTCATGAGAAATTGCAAGTCCCTCAGATAAGAGGGGCATAAGTTCGAAAGTAGACGGAGCGCTAATGTAGAAGATCTACTTGATGCAGAATTGGGTTCAGCACATGATTATTACATAAATTCACAAAAGTAATTTTGGTGCGGTACTCTTAGTATTTAACATTTCGTTGTTTCACAAAAACAAAAAGAATGGCTGTGCGAGTCTTTGATAGACTCTCTCAAAGTTCAAAAAGAGCCTTGATTGCTGATGTTAATACAATACACCTAAGAAAGCTTGAAGTTAATGTAAGTCTCAATCAAAATGTGCTTGGGAAAAGTGAAAGAAAGGTCTTACCATCCACTGAATTGGTGTCCTGAGTTGTCATAGTTTTGTTGAATTCTGGGCTTGAAGTCATGTCACTGAATACCTGCACTCCTGAATGGTACGATGATACAAACACTGCGAAAGTTATTACTGATAGAGACGAATTCGATGAGGTTTACGAACTAAGTTATTATCCAAATATTAGAAAGGCGGAAAAGGACACGGAAATCGAAATAAAAACCTACTACGAAGCAACGAAGACGTACGTTAACACTGACATTCAAAGACTGCGTTTTAATAGACGTATAAAAGGAGCACAATTGTGTGAAATGTAAAGTGTGCAGTTCTCGGTCACTTACTTAACGGGATTATTAAAATGGTTAAAATAATGAAGCGCGGCACAAACGTGATAAAAGTACATAAATGAAACTACAGAAAAAAGACTCGTCTTCGGAAACAGACGTCAGACAGCCTGTAATCTACGAAAACAAACCGAAACCGTTGAGCTTCTCGGAAATTGGCAACTTCCTTCCTTTGATATCGTTGATAATTTTCCTTATTTTCTGTGACAATTACTTTGAAATAATCATCGGTGATTCCAAACACAGCTTGAAATTGGGGTAATCTCAACTCAAAATGACAGACGATATTCAATAAAAATTGCTTGAGTTTCGTTCGGCTTACAATGTTGACTAAATTTTTTCATTGATGCATGTGCATCAGTGACCGAAAAGGTGAAACCGTGAATCTGATTGGTCGGCGAGGTCGTGAGATGAAGCGCGGTAAATTTAAATTCACGGCATTTATTGTGCCTTTTAACTATGAATAATAATGAATTCAATCATTGTTGAGCCTCTTTTTGAGGCTGTTTTAGACCGACACTCAGGAGCCGATAAATGCTTGATCTTTCAGTATTAAAAGAAAAACACCCGCAGGCGTTTTCATCGGTCCATTTCATATTACTGTTAAAATATGAAATGGAGGAAAGTTTGTAACCGTCATGACATCATTGATGGTAAAATATCGAATTCAAGGCACTACTACCCTAAACCTACCACTGTCGGCTATACTAGATGACTGAAAATCAAGTGAACTGCTGACACCTTCATAGAATTATTTGAAGTTCCTCTCGAAAAGCTAGGAAAGGTGGTGAAAGAGGACCCTCAAAGAGTTGTGCCATCTGTTAACAGGATTGATCATGCTCCCAAAGACGAGTATTCACTTGGCTGGGGGAGCTCAAGCTGAGAATTTTTAAATTTCACCTTTGATACATAAAGCCATTTATGAGCTAACCCTCAACATTTACATGGCTGAAGTCCAAAAATGCATCATTCAGATTGCGATGTTGTAAGTCTCCAATCATGTTTTACTTTTCAAAGGAACACTGACCGACAGGTTCTATTAAAACTTTCTATGAACTTTCTTCACTCATTCTAGAAAAAACTTGCTTGACAGAAAAATTTTGAGCAGTGCATCTTGTAGAGAATAAAATATAATCAGAAATTTTCATATGTTGTCATACAGACACAAATTTTCTGCCATAAGTCATCAATTTTTTACTTCGAATTAAATGCCGGTGGGATTTCTCTAGTTTCATTATCCTGATATTTCTTTCTCTACACTGAAAATATGATTCAAGGACAGCATTTGATTATATTTTTAACATAGGAGAAAACTTGAAATACTAACATAAATAGGTATTTAAAGGTACTTACCAGAATACATCCTTCAAAATAACCAATTTTGAGTTTTAATCATGTCGAAGGTAGGTACATACAGTTCTAATTGTAGTTTTTGCAACCTCATTTGAACATGACTATGGTTAAGATTGAGACACATTATTTGCACTATACAACACACCGTGCTGAGACACAGACTGCTTCTGACCGATTCACTTATGATGAACTGATTATAATTTCGTAAAACTAATTTTGTTCAGCTACGGAGACGTTGCAGCAGGATGTAAAATTTTTGCCCAACAAAACTGATTTTGCCTTTAATTCAGAAGGCGGGTGAAAATTAATGCCTCTGATTGTCAGTTCATAACTTGAATGAGAGAAAATATTTTGGCAAAAACTTAACAAATTCTCATGACCGGTATTCTGAGCTTTCAAATGTCCTATTACAATAGGTCAGTTGTGTTAGGTAATAACCAAAACTCGGAATGGTGATTTATGCTGATATATTAGGAAAAAATAATAAGATCAGTCAAAACACCTACATTTTACTTCAAAAGAATATTACCCTTCAAAAAGCACAGTGTATGACTTTCTTCACCTTGGATTCGTCTTTTAACAATACATTTATGTGCACTGGTTGCTCGATTTAAAATAAGGATGAAACCAAAAAGGAAAAAATCATGGTGTGCAGAACTTCAGTGGAAGACATCATACAATAAGTTTTTTGAAAGGCAATACCTTTGTCAAAGTAGACGAGAAAACAGGGTGTTTGGACAGGTGGTTGCTGATCTGAAATCTGAAATCATCAAAACGAAGTTCTGTGGCTAGTGCAAGTGATAGCTTGACAAAATTACTGCATTTTAAACGTCCAGGTATGTTTTGTTGACAGGTTGAAGGAAAATACATCAGATAATCATGACTCTCCAGAGCTTTACAAATGCAACAGAGTTGGGGAGATCTCATCAAATTTTGGAATGAAAGGTGAAAAGGTCAACCTTAACTATGGCGAAGTTGACGTGACAGAATACTCAAGTTCAAAGTTGTTGAAAGCTCATCGAGTTGAGATTTTCATCGTGGGTACTTCTGGAGAATGATTGGTGGTTGAATTTTTTGCCTTTAAACACTTGCTTGCAAGGCCTTTGCATGAAATCTGATTCATCGATTTTCTTAATCTTGCAATCGGCCCTATTTACTGATGAATAGAATAACCTTGTTAATATCAGCGCTCAATTCTCTGCTGCTTCTGAACTCCACCTCTTTCAATTGTCAAGAGCGTCAGATGTGACCATTGGACCATTGTGGAGGATAAGAAATTAAGCACTTCGGTAGATTTTCTCTCACCAAAATTTCATGTTCAACACTGTAAATACATCAAAAATTGAACTTGTAATTTTTTTTTCTACCTTTCTTTTTGCATTTGCCAATTCAAACTTCTTTTGTCTAAACAACCCAAGTCTGCTTGAGTCAATACTGTTACAAAAATAAAAAAGGTCGTGTGTGTTTAGCCATGAAAAAGAGTTTAATTGCTTTTAGCAATAAAGAGCATCTGAAACAGAGAGGAAGTTTTGTGAAACCAAATTCTAGTTGTTTGGTTCATGTATAAATTTGTTTTCAGTGACCAGTTAGACTTGTGTTGATTTTGGTTTTTTCTTTGCGAGCAGAAAGTTAGAATTTATTGATTATAATGTAAACTATGAGTGCTAATTTCTCCTATACGAATAGATTTCTGACTATTTCAACATGTTAAATGGGTTTTGCAAAACATATTGATGTGGAAACTTACTTAGAACTACCTTAATTTGTGCCTTGTTTATTGATCTATTAAACATTTTAGAACAGTTTGAATTTGGTTCAGAGCACCATTATTCAAAGTCTTGATAAAACTGACATTCCCAAATAAATACTGTTAGAAAATTGGGTTGTAATTGAAAGCCTCTTTTGTGGTGGACTTCACTGAGATTTTTGAAAAAGTCAAGATATTACATAGTCCTCTTGGGTAACACACAAAAGAAGAAATTGAAAGTAGCAAATTTAGTCATAAAAATATCCACTACCTCCTTTGCCATAATGTCCTTCAATTAATGTTATTCATTTTATCTCAAATGAGAAAGAAACATTAGATTTTATCTTAGTGTCCATATAAATGCATGAAATGCTGCAGCAACAAAGAGATAATTTTTTTTAAAAAGAAATTCTAATGTAGGTTGACTAGATAAATGCTACCGTCAACCTAAAAATTCTTCTGGGAACTGTTTTTTTGTTAGTTCAACACTCTTAGTTGTGATACCTTGGGAGAGAAATAATAATTTTCAGGCTTTGAGGTGTGATTGAAGTAAGTGAAGATTTGAAAAGTACAGTATATATATTATTACTATTTAATTCATAACTTGAAAGAAGAACTTTTAAGCCAGTGGTTGCATGTAGAAAATTAAAAACTGAAATGAGGAAAATACATCGAGAAAGAACGATAGGCACGGCCATGAGGAACAGCGCTGATACCTAATCATATCTTATGTGGTAACGATGATACAAATTACATCAACAAAGGCAATTAGGAGAAAATATCAGGTGAACTGGAGATCCAGCACGGTTCATGGAAATGAGGGGCAACTTCTGAGTGCCTGTATTAGCAGCAAAACGAAACTGGACTCAGCTGTTTCACCTGAAACATACAAGATGACAAGAAAATTAGGATGAAGCTAAACGAAGAGGACTAAAAACATAAAATAAAATGACTCTAGGTGCCGTTTCTAGAATAAATAGTTGTTCAACTACTTCATTTGTCGATTGCTTCTGTTTTTACAAGTTGTTTTTCTTCCATTTTGAAAGTGAGTTCATCTGACAAGAAAAAATAAACAGAAAAAAGAGGAATGATTTTAGATAGTTAAACATTATTGCACGGAACAGACCTATCGAAAGAGGTAATTTTGAGATACAAGAATGTGCCAAAACATTGAGATGGACTTGATATTTACACATTATTTTTCGCCATTCTCTTAGGGCATAGATACTTTCTGCATAGTGACATTCGGTTAATCCAGCATTGCTTCGCCGACTGAAAAGTCAAAATGTCAACCCAGGTGCTGTCATTCTTTCTTTGCTGTTTGGAATTATTCTGAGATAATATGTGACCAATGCTCAGAATTTTAGATTTTGAGAGCCTCTTGAATGATAGAAACAAAAAGAAACACAGGCAACTAATATATAGGCAACTAAACCAAAAAATTCTGAAGTCAAAAGTGCAATTATGTTTTTTCAATCAGTTCAGCTACGTGGAACTTTATATTTTGCAGCCAAGTACATAAGATAAACAAAAAATTAAGTGTTCAAGATTATATTATTCAGGTACTACATTGCAAAATTTAAAAATAGGTACTAGCACAGTGAGGACTCATACGAAAGCAAGCATTTTTAGGTTAAGACATTCATAAAAAATTACAGGTTTTCATTAATTTGTTCCAACAATTTTAAAATATTTTGTCTTAAACTTGCCATTAACACAACATCAAAAGTATAAAACATAAAATAGTCTCAAACATTATAAAAGAGAACAAAATCCCTGGTTGGTTTGGAGGATTCGGAGTGAGAAAAATAATGGTGACAAAAAATCGAAGACACAGCTCCTGCTGAAGATGATAGATGATTGGGCATCTCAGTAGAATTACCCATGCCTGTTGCTCCGCTTACAGGTGGATTACTGAGCACTCAGCCTACTTCCATGATTTGTTGATTCATTCATCAAGTCCTAAGTGAGTTTCTGTCTACCCTTACAAATATTTTTTTAAAGATGAGATACAATTTGTCAATTTTCCAGAATTTGAGTATTTTTAAGATCTAACAAAAATTAATTATTTAAAAAATCCAGTCACTCACATAGAATGTCAATGGCATGATGGAGTTTCGCTGGGCTACCTGCCAGGACTTTCGCAGCTGCCCCCCCCCCCCCCCCCCNAATTCCAATCCAATTAAGTTCTAAAATGACCTTCTCAGCCCCTACCCTCCATCCCCTTTCCCTCCCTCTCTTCCTCTCCTTACACCACTAGAGGCCCGTTTTTCAAGAAAATCTCCCAAACAATAGCGTGTATTTTTAAGTATGAAATGCTCAGGGATTACCTATACGAGGCCCTCAAGAATTTCAAGGGGTGCCTAAGGCTTAAAAATCTAGAAACTGAAAACACATGGTTTATTAGTTTATTTTAAAGTTGCCAAGACAAAATATTCGCCGCTAGTACTGAAAAAATTTAAAGAGATCAATACAGTTACGGAGGATTTGGNNTGGGGGGGGGGGGGGGTGTAGGGAGAGAGACTAATAATGAGGCAAAGAAAGGGGGAGATTGAAGAATTAAATCCAGAAATTTGGCTACATCAATAAACAGGAAATCCGGTGATAATATTTTGATAGGACGGTACTGAAGTCAGAATATGTATGTGTGGTGAACAATGTACATAGAAATGAAACATCGTCGGTGACTTATATCATCAGGCAATCATTTTTGTGACATGAGTATAGGCAAACGAGTAATGGTGAAAACTTGCCCAATTATGGGCTCATACTGAAACATGAAGCAATCTTCCACCTCACCTTATCCACTTATGTATATTCGATAACTTTATTGATAGAGCACTGAAAAAGGGGGAAAAATCTTCAATGCATTTGTTTCTTACATTCTAGAATAATACATTTGTTTTTTACATTCTAGAATAATACGTTTGTTTCTTACTTTCTAGAATGTAAAAAACTTTCAAATTAAATTTGATTTTGAAAAATTACCTATTTTGCTGCTTTTTTTCTAGGAGCTCTGGTTTTATTCTTGGCAGGAGCAGATTCTACAGCCTCTTGTTCTGCATTTAAGACTTTAGCAATCGGAGCTTTGGATAATACACGCTTCGGCTTTTGCTGCAAGGTTGCTGGAGTTGCAGTGAGGTTTAGGTTGTCCACAGATTGAGATCTGCCTCGTATTGTGACATTCCTCAAACTTTCTGTCGAGGAGTATTTTGTGAGGGTGCCAGTCTCCGGTTCTGAGTCTACTTGTTTGGGCTTCTTGACTTTTTTTCCTGTAACTTTTGGCTTGGCTTTTGCAGCAGCTTTCTTTTTTGGACCTTTCTTTGAATCTAAAGTTAGATCCTTTATCATCCCCAATAGACCATCAACTTCTGCAACATTGGGAGCTTTTTTGGACGCTGCTTTTCGAGGAGGTTTTCTTGACTTCGTTACAGCACCATTTTCTAGGGGTTTATCCTTGGTTCCCTTCTTTATGGCTCTTTTTTGAGTGGCTTTGGTTTCTGGTTCAAATTCTTCATCTGATTCTTCAAGACTACATGGATCACCAGAGTCTGTTTGATCAAATTCTGACTCAGAATCTTCGATCACCGGAATTTTCTTTTGGGAATTTACAACATTCAGCTCCTCGGATGAATCAGAATCCTCATGTTCAGCTTGCTCCTTAGCGCTTTTTTTCAACAGATTTGTCTCAGCAGCATCGTTAGAGTTTTCGTCATCTTCCGATTCCTCATGTGTTCTCACGGGTAGAGTTTTCTTTGGTGCAGCTGGCTTACCTTTTTGGGCTTTTTTCACCGGCTTGGGTTCTATTATTATTGTTTCTGATAAAATATCTTTAATTTCGTCTCTTGAAACAGGTTCTTGGGCTCCTTTTAAATTTACCGTATTAGGAGGTGACTCCTCTACATCTAACTCGGTAAATTTAAGCTTTGGAGCTTTTATTGACTTGACCGCTGGCAGTCGTTTCTTCTGCTCAACTTTTGGCTTCGACTCATTATCACTTAATTTCTCTGTTTCATTTTCATCGGTTGCAGAATTAGATTTTATAAATTTCTTGATAACGACTGATTTATGTTCAGGCAAATCATCGGGTTCTTCGTTTGATAGGGTATCTAATTCATCTTTATTGACAACAAAAGTTTCGTCTACCGGCAATTTAGGTGGTACTTCACTCACGGCTTTGGTGGCTCTTTTGGGAGCGGCTTTCGTAACTGCTGGTGCTTTGGTTTTGGCAGTGGCTCTTGCCTTTACAGAGGCGAGAGGGATATCATCATCTGAAGGTGGTTCTTCCGGATTTACCATGGGCGCTTTCTCTGAGGTTTTGGTTGCTTTCACGTTTTTCTTCACTGCTTTGGTAGTGGTGCTGGCGACGGCAGCTGCAGTGGGGGGCTGTTGTCTACTCCTGGTTGTTATTGGCATGATGACACACTTTTTTTTTCCACCGACTGTCAACTACAAAACTAACTTCTGTTAATAAGTAAAATGTCTCTAAATTACAAACCGCCACGACACTTCACGAAATAAAACAAGAGATATATTAAAAGTAACGTATTAAAACAATAAAAATTGATATAATGGCACAGATTTAACGATTACAGGCACACGAATTTCACAGCAAGGGCTCTGCAAGCGAGAGTAGCCCGCACCGATAAGTGAGTGACGTGCACCTGAGCCAGATCACTGATCACCATCGTACAGATACTGATAAGTGATCATACAAACGGCTGGGAAACGGTCAAGCATGTTGTCAATTAATAAAATCAGGCAGAGACGGAAAGCGGTCGGTTCTGACGTGTAAAGAAAAACAAAAATATTTCAAAACTCATAAAATAAAAAACATGAAACAAAGGGGTGAAGATCATCCGGGGAAAAAAGGATAGTGTGTGTGTNGGGGGGGGGGGGGGTAGCTTGCTAGGACTGCCACTTCCATAGGTAAATTTGACAACCACGGTAGGTGGTATGTACAGCGGCTACGTTAGACTGATAACAAAGATGGACAACAAAAGTTCGGGCGATGGCATGACATCTAATAGGAAAGTTTCGTCTTCATACGAAATAATCATTTTCGGGGACAGCAACATCTCACTTCAACCTGTTTCTGATCGTGGCGTGGAATGAAACGAATTGATAGCGCGGCAGCGCGCAGGTCTCGGGGATAGCTGATGACAGAGAACCGGTGCGGTGATAAAAGATTCGTGTTCAGAAAAAAGGCTTGCAAAAATCCTGAAGTTGCTCTGTAATTCACGGATGGTGATGGTATCGAAACCGCCTACAAATTAGTAAGTACGGCAACTCTAAAGGACAGAGTCTAAATGTACCTGATGAAGGGGGGAGGAGGCATAGTGTGTCTGTTGAAAAGCAGGAATAACGACATAGGTACCCCCCCCCCCCCCCCCC